TCCCAATAACAACGACTGGCGGCTGATGGACAGCTGAGGGTGACTTCGAAACCAGACATCCACGGAAACAAAGTCATGTTTTATATGGTGATATAGTATAGCAACGGTGTACCACGGAATGCTGATTGTGGGTTATACAGTTACAGCTGAACTCTGCGTATAACAGCTCCACCACGTGGGCCGAGCTCCGCGTCGTCAAAGGGTAAATTCGGCCAATGAAAAATTATGGCACGATAATGCAAGCCGAAAATGCAACAAGAAATCGAGGAGTTGGGCTGGGACGCTCTGCCTCTCGCGCCATATAGCCCAGGTCTGGCGCCGTCCGACTATCACTGACCCAGGTCAGCGCAACACTCCTTAGCAGCAAACCAATTCGATAACCGCGACGACGTCAAAATTTGAGTGCCCAACTTCTTCGAGTCGAACCAGAAAGAGTTCTACGCGGTAGCCATCCATGCTTGCGTAACAAAAGGTGATGAGCCTGTGACACAGGTGAAGGAGATGGTTCAGGTTGATGTGCTTCATTATTGTTTTTATAATTGACGATCGAAAACGACATTTCAATCGTTCCAACCTAATAAAACCTTCCTCACCCACTTTTTGTGTTAATGCCCGACTCCTATATCATAAGGTAGCGCTTTTGATGCAACATTTTTCTGCCGCATCAAATCAGTTCAAATTTGTATTTTAAAGGCAAGCCTTCGTCACAGCATATCATCGTTGATGGGAGAAAGAGTAAAGAGTGTGAAAATCATTTCACTGGAAATTCTCGTGTATGCCTAAATCCCAAACAAATTTCAAATTGTAAAAGCCAGTTGCTCAAACCCAACAGAGCCTAATTGTGGAAGTGGATGTGGAATGTACTGTCCATTGGGACAACGTTCCTTTTCTTCAAAAAGGTTTCTCATCTATAGTTATCACTCTTTTTCTGTCAAAAGTTTCCCTACACTTTTCTATAATGCTTTGATGACGATCGAGATATGCGAATGAACTCGTCTCTCCAGCTCGAAAACGCATTCCACCCCAAAGAATTTTGAGCGCTATATCCCCTTTATCTTTGATGGATGTTGATGGGTTTGGTGATTTTGTTACACACACAAGCAGTCATAGCATTTTATACATTGTAGAAATATTATATTAGACTTTTCTTCGTTTCCAAGGCCTTGACATAGACTACTCATAATTTGTGCAAGGAAAAGGAAGCCAAACTTACTGTCATAAGTTCCACTATGATTGCGACATAAACGAGGTAAGAAACGAATATAGAAGGCCAACACCACGCTAACTCCAGAATCTTGAAAGGTTAACAGTAATGTTTCAAATTATCAAAAATCTTATGTGTTCTCTATAACATGGTTATCAGAACAGCACCTTTTGTCAGTGCACTCAGTGATAAAAAATTCTGTGTCTCTATTCCTTGACCACTATTGTGCTCGGCAACCGCCGGGACCTATATTTTCCTGCGTGAGCTTTACGCCTTTTGCTACTCAATTGCTCTTACCAAGTCAACATTTCGTGTAAGTATTTGAAGGAGTGTTCACGATGAATCCCATGGAGACGATAAGGAAGGCTAGTAGTGCGGGTAGGACATCTACAATGAGATAAGAAGTAACGCTTTATGGCCAGTGACGCAACACCGACGGCGTGATAAGGCACTTCCGGTAGCATGAAACGTGGAAAGATGGCTACGGTAGCGCACTTGATATGATACCGTTGTCGAAGAGTTTTCGTCCTGAAATGAGCCTCTTACCAAGCAGCCGTATTTTCTCATCTTATCGCATAGTATCTTCCATAGGGTGACGACCGTCCAACCATTTATATCTGGCTATTTTCGGTTGATACTGTAATATGCAGCTCTACCTCTAAGCCAGCTTGGTCGCTTCCTTCAAGGGCGGTTTAGTAGACGTGCGCGTAAAGAGTGTCTTGCACTGTAGAGCGTTTTATAGCAATTGGGACATCACCTTAGGCAGAGTTACATCACAACACTAGCATGAACCTTAGATTTGCTGGCAGTAGTTTTGCTGTCCACCCTACCTATCCTCCCCTCCTCTGCTCTCCAGCTGATAACACTTTACCAGAAAAGGTGGAAAGTGTGCTCAGTAGGTGTTTGTTAAAGAGTTAGAGTCAGAAAGTCACGATAGAATGTGTCCCGACATGAATGGAACTCTTGTTTGCATGCAGTTTGTTCAATCTCTCTTCCGTTTCCTCCCAAACAACCTACTTTGCCTTCCAGCCGTCATTGCAGCATCATAGGGAATGGAAGAGAGTAGGAGGTACTGGGCGAGACCCGAGGTGGATCAGAGGAGACAAGGCAGCGTGGTTCTGGAACGAGGAGGTCCAGCGAGTCGTGAAGCAGAAGAAGGAAGCATACAAGCGCTGGCAGAAGACCCGGAGCCCCGAGGACCTCGCTACCTACAAGAGTTGCAAGAGGCTCGCTAAGGCTGCCGTCGCCAAGGCGAAGAACACGGAGATGGACGCCTTGTACGAGAAGTTGGAAAGCAGAAA